GTTCAGGAGTGAGTAGAGATGTTTGTATCTCCTGCCTGATGGTATCTTCTTAGTTCCTGCACCAATGCCACTTGGCAGAGCCAGAGGTATGAGACCATTTAAGCCTCTCTTTTTGTTTCTCAAGTTGAGAAGTGAGCAGAGATGTTTTGTTCTCCTGCCGGATGGTGCCCTAATAGTTCTGGCACAATTGCCACATGGCAGGCGTGATAACATTTGAGCCTCTTCTCTTGGTTCTCAAGTTGAGAAGTGAGCAGATAAGTTTTGATCTCCTGCCAGATGGTACACTCATTGGCAGGCGTGATAACATTTGAGCCTCTTCATGACAATATTAAGCTTGTGATCTACCAGAACTCCCAGATCCTTCTCCACCATTGATTCCCCCAGATCCTTCTCCACCATTGATTCCCCCAGATCCTTCTCCACCACCATTGATTCCCCCAGATCCTTCTCCTGGCTTACGTGTTTCGAGGGAGGTCCCTCACTTCTTCGGAGGTTTGGAAAAGAAGAAGAGGGGACCTCCCTCGAAACACGTAAGCCAGTTGAATCCAGGTTCAGGAGCGTTTGGAGTGGATTGAACGATAGCGAGACTTTGATGTGCCTTGTCTATATTTGGTTTGTGAATAGATTTATTTATACTTTTAAATAAACGGTTACTGGGATCATGCCCTAGGCTGGTGCTCCCTCTGTTGTTGGTTCTTTCAGTTTGACAACATTCCGTTCTTGGTTCCCAGTTGTGCGTCTTGTGTTGTCACCCTATCATTTGGTATCCTGATGGAGACTGGGTGACAACGCACTAAGCAGGCATAGTATACGGTTGCGTTGTGTTGTCACCTTCAGAAAACCCATCCTTAGAAATCCCTTGCAGCCAAGGCTGGAGAACATACGGACAGTAAGTAGCTGCAAAGAGGCTGTAGGAGATCAGCAGCACTAATGCAGGCCATAGACAGGTCGTAAATCGGCTGATTTTTTGACCGACAAAAGAAATCGGCAGATTTTCACACCGTTAGTGGGTTAATTGGTTGGCCGTTTTTCTGGGTTTTGGCGCTTTTTTTTTTTTATCGATCAAGTTGGAAAATTTGCGGCCGATTTTGACGATCGGACGATTTTCCCAGCAATGATGGGCAAATCGGCCGATCGTTTTATCGATAAAAAATCTGCACATGAGCCGTGACCTGCAAGAAGAAGAAAAAGAAGAAGAAGAAAAAGAAGAAGAAGAAAAAGAAGGATAAGAAAAATAAGAAGAAAAAGAAGACTAAGAAAAAGTAGAAAAGAAGAAAAAGAAGAATAAGAAAAAGAAGAAGAAAAAGAAGAAAAAGAAGAAGAAAAGAAGAATAAGAAAAAGAAGAAGAAAAGAGGAATAAGAAAAATTAAAAGAAAAAGAAGAATAAGAAGAAAAAGAAGAAGAAGAAGAAAAGAAGAGGAATGAGAAAAAGAGAAGAAGAAGGAGAAAAAGAAGCAGAAGAAAAAGAAGAATTCCAGTCCTCTATTATATTTGACATGAAAAAGTCTTGCGGTTGCAACAATGTATCTATTTGTATCCGAATAAAACCATCTGTATCTGAAATGGATACAAATAGATACATTGTTGCAACTGCAATACTTTTTCATGTCAAATATAATAGCGGAGCTCTCTGCAAGGGACAGAAGGAATTAAATGCCGGCCGTAGACGGGATGAAAATCAGCCGATTTTTTACCGTTGGTGGTAACATCGGCTGATCGAATGACCGAGTTTTTGTTTTTTTTTTTATAAAAAACGTCCGGTTTTCGACCCGTCTATGGCCTGCATAAGATGCAATGGTTCCTATTGGTCTGGCAGAAGCTTTTCTTCGAGGATTCTGTATCCCTACCATACTATCACACCGTTCTGCAGCTATCCGAAGGCACAGCAGGCTGAAGTATACTGTAATTATTTGTAAGAAGAGTAATGGAAACAGCCATTGCATTGAACTTTTCACCTCTGCCGTCTCTTTACGTGAAAAGCCTCTGGGTGGGAGGGCTAGACTCTGCGTCTTCCATGAATATGCAAATCCATTTCGCTGACACAGGGCTATATGACTGAATGAGAAAAATTACCAGGCTTTCTGCAGCCCAGCGGGAAGGAGAAGGGAAAACATGGGTAGGACGTCTTCACCCGGGTCAGTTCAAGGTGCTTTACAGGTCGTTAAAGCGGTATTAACCCCAAAAGCAAACATTTATCATATAGCAGCATACTAATGTGATGACTGCATTAGTTTTCATTTTTAGTCTTCCTTTCTTCTATTTTCATCTGATGATCCAGCTAGCAAGTCTGTTTTTTTTGGATCATGCTTTGCTGTTTTTTTTTGCCTTCCTCTGGATCAACTGTGGGTGTAGGATTATAATTTTTTTTATGGTTGAACTAACTTTCTTGGATACACAGAATATAACATTTATAGGTAAAGTTGATCCAGGGAATATCGATTGCCTCTCGGAGGATCAGGAGCAAGCTGGATCATGCTTTCCTGTTTTTTTGCCTTCCTCTGGATCAACTGTGGGTGTAGGATTATAACTTTTTTTTTATAGTTAAACTGGATGGACTTTTGTCTTTTTTCAGCCAGACTAACTATGCAACTATGTAGCCTCGGGGGCACATGCTCAGTTTGGTGTGTACTGCTAATGAGATTTTGCTTGGGAGGGTGCATGTGATGAGCACAGGACCAATCAGCAATGTCCAGACATAGGGTCAGGGGTAATGCAGCCTCATAGGACAATCAGGAGAGAATTAAATCTCCTACTACATGCTTTAACCAGTGCTTTCCTGGACACTGATTTTTCCCCTGCAGGAACAAATTGGATCATGCTTTGCTGGGTTTTTTGCCTTCCTCTGGATCAACTGTGGGTGTAGGATTATAACTTTTTTTTTTATAGTTGAACTGGATGGATTTTTGTCTTTTTTCAGCCAGACTAACTATGCAGCTATGTAGCCTCGGGGGCACTCTGCACATGCTCAGTTTGGTGTGTACTGCTAAAGAGTTTTTTTTTTTTTTTGCTTGGGAGAGTGCATGTGATAAGCACAGACATTGGGTCAGGGGTAATGCAGCCTCATAGAACAATCAGGGGTGAGTGAAATCTCCTCCTACATGCTTTAACCAGTGCTTTGCTGGACACTGATTTTTCCCCTGCAGGAGCAAATTGGATCATGCTTTGCTGGGTTTTTTGCCTTCCTCTGGATCAACTGTGGGTGTAGGATTATAACTTTTATTTTAATGGTTGAACTGGATGGACTTTTGTCTTTTTTCAGCCAGACTAACTATGTATCTATGTAAGCTCTCCTGCAGATGTATCAGTTTACAGGGATGAGACAAACCATTTAACACTGGCACGGGTGCTTACAATGACCGGATTTTATTTATTTATAAAACCTTTATCCCAAAAGGAAAAAAAAATGTTTTCCGTAACTGATTATAAAGTGTGAGCTGGAGTTTGGATTCAGTTTGTTAGTGTAATTAAATCTGCTAGCACATCTAACACTCCCCCCAGTCTGATAATTCTGTTCTCTAAAGGTGCCCCCCGGGCTCCTTCATCCAGAGTGGGGGCACTCTAATACAGGAGGTGTGTTACTGGCCAGATCTCTAGGTGAAAAAAGAGGGGGAAAAGCCTAGAAAAAGAAAACGAATGCAGTTACCATATTTAATGCTTGGTAAGTTGCAATGTATTACATTTTTGGTTTTGGGTTTAAAACCTCTTTAACGTCTACCTAAACCCAATTACTAAAATCTCAAACAAGCTCCAAAATGTTAATGTAATATTAAGGGTACATATGCAGCCTCAACAAAATTCCCCAACATCACCGAAGGGCCGTACATAAAATTCAGCGAATATTCAGTATCAAAGACAGCAGATATACAACAAGATAGAGTCCAAGACAAGAGATGGTCAGAGCCTGCAGGCATGATACATGAGATGGTCAGAGCCAGCAGACATAATACATGAGATGGTCAGAGCCTGCAGACATGATACAGGAGATGGTCAGTGACTGCGGATTTGGTATATGAGATTGTCAGAAACTGCAGACATGATACAAGAGATGGTCACAGACTACAGAAATTATATAGGAGATAGTCAAAGACTGATGACATGGTACATGAGATGGTCAGAGACTGCAAATGTGATACAAAAGATGGTCAGAGACTGCAAACATGATACAAGAGATGGTCACAGACTGCAGACATGATACAAGAGGTGGTCAGATACTGCAAACATGATACAAGAGATGGTCAGAGACTGCAGACATGGTATCTAAGATGGTCAGAGACTGCAGACATGATACAAGAGATGGTCAGAGACTGCAGACATGATACAAGAGATGGTCAGATACTGCAAACATGATACAAGAGATGGTCAGAGACTGCAGACATGGTATCTAAGATGGTCAGAGACTGCAGACATGATACAAAATATGGTCAGAGACTGCAGACATGATACAAGAGATGATCAGAGGCTGTGGACACAGTATATGAGACGGTCAGAGACTGCAAACATGATACAAGAGATGGTCAGAGACTGCAAACATGATACAAGAGATGGTCAGAGACTGCAGACATGATACAAGAGATGGTCAGAGACTGCAAACATGATACAAGAGATGGTCAGAGACTGCAAACATCATACAAGAGATGGTCAGAGACTGCAAACATGATACAAGAGATGGTCAGAGACTGCAGACATGGTATATAAGATGGGCAGAGACTGCAGACATGATATAGGAGATAGTCAAAGACTGCAGACATGGTACATGAGATTGTCTGAAACTGCGGACATGATACAAGAGATGGTCAGAGACTGCCCACACCTTAAAAAGCCTATGAAAAAGCCAATGAAAGGTATCTCATGGGGCCCCCTACTGACCTCGGGCCCTCGGGCAGTGCCCAAGTGCTCAAATGGTCAGTCCGCCCCTGGTTAAGTGTGAATTTTGGGCAGGTCTGCTTTGATGATGGGATTTTAGGAAAGTTTTGCCTCAAGGACGTCTTTCTGTTTTCTCTGCAGAGGTGGTTGAAGACATATGGCTATTTGCTCCCCTACGACATCCGAGTTTCAGCTTTACATTCAGGAACAGCTATGCAGTCAGCAATTGCAACGATGCAGCAGTTTTACCGGATCCCGGTGACGGGTGTGCTGGACCAAACCACAATTGAGTAAGTACTTCTCTAGCAAGGGTTTGTGTAGCTGTATATTTGACATAACTATGGTTGTTCAGGCATCAACGTTTCAACACAGGTCCACAACACAGGTCCACAACAAAGGTCCACAACACAGGTCCACAACAAAGGTCCACAACACAGGTCCACAACAAAGGTCCACAACAAAGGTCAACAACACAGGTCCACAACAAAGGTCCACAACAAAGGTCCACAACACAGGTCCACAACACAGGTCCACAACAAAAAGGTCCACAACACAGGTCCACAACAAAGGTCCACAACACAGGTCCACAACACAGGTCCACAACACAGGTCCACAACAAAGGTCCACAACACAGGTCCACAACAAAGGTCCACAACACAGGTCCACAACACAGGTCCACAACACAGGTCCACAACAAAGGTCCACAACAAGGTCCACAACACAGGTCCACAACAAAGGTCCACAACACAGGTCCACAACACAGGTCCACAACACAGGTCCACAACACAGGTCCACAACACAGGTCCACAACACAGGTCCACAACAACACAAGGTCCACAACACAGGTCCACAACACAGGTCCACAACACAGGTCCACAACACAGGTCCACAACACAGGTCCACAACACAGGTCCACAACAACACAGGTCCACAACACAGGTCCACAGCACAGGTCCACAACAAAGGTCCACAACAAAGTTCCACAACACAGTCCACAACAAAGGTCCACAACACACAACACAGGTCCACAACAAAGTTCCACAACACAGGTCCACAACAGAGGTTGACTTGTTTTTTTTGGTGCATTGACATAAGATTTGAAAGCAGCAGAAACATGTATTGGACACTAATGCAAAGCTGAATTAAGGTGACCTTTTTCCTTAGATACCGATTGTCCTGGATTTTCCAGGATGGTCCTGCATTTTGGTCACCTGTCCCACCAATGTGTCCAGGGCCATGTCCTGTGATCGTTCCATCAACCTTGAGTACGTGAACATGCACAGGAACCCACAAAAGCATTAATTGTGGGACCAGGGCAGTGAGTGGGTAGTCCCTGCATATTTAGAGGTGAAGTCTTGGCAGAACCAACCCATAATGTAGGTGTGATGGACAGTCCACGTACTTTGGACAAAGGCTAAAGGAGAAGGGTGTCACAAGCTTTCCCTAGTTTTCAGTATTTCACTTCAGTACTAGCAACTGGTTGAAATGTTGGAGAAGAATGGAAAAGATGCTGTTTTGGAGAAGGAAATACTGCTTTATCTAAAGCTGAAACATTTTTTTTCCATTTTGTATAGGTAAAAGATTGGACTAGGGAATGGTTAAACCCATTTCAGTTTATTTTTGGCCATCTGTGTCCTACTGTTGAGATTCTAATTCATGTCCTGTCTTGTAGACACAACAGAAAGGGAGTAAAAATCCAGGATGAGGAAAATCCCCTCTGAAACTATTGTCACCAGAACAAGTGTCCTCATTGGAAGGTTACTCCTCATATGCCTGTTCTGGAGACCCAACTCAAAACAATGGATTTCCCATTACTTTTAGTCTCTGTGACATTGGTCAACAGAACAAACAGAGACGGAGAGTCTCCTCAGTGGAGACACAGGCAGTAGTTAAAATCTTGCAGGGGTTCTAATTTTATTCACCCTAAAACTGGCTTTAGATACACTTTAGGAGACCCTTTTACTTTGCCCTAAATATATGTAAAGCACTGCATAAATTGACAAAGGTCCACAACACAGGTCCACAACACAGGTCCATAACAAAGTTCCACAACACAGTCCACAACAAAGGTCCCACTAAATATATGTAAAGCGCTGCGTAAATTGACGGCGCTATATAAGTACCTGAAATAAATAAATAAGAAAAGTTACTTTACTGTTTGAACCAACAACTCCATCAACTCCATAATAATGCCCATGGTTTGGGATTGAGACATCTAACAAACTCATAAACACTAGGTGTGATGGCCAAGTGTCTGCCAACTTTTGCTTATATAAGGATTCACTTACTAAAGGCAATTAGACTGTCCACTTTGCAAGAGCAGTTGCTCAGTAGCTTAATACATTTTGGGAAGCTTTGCTGACTTCCATCATCCAATCATGTGCAAGCAAAAATTATTTTTTTTTAATTTTCCTTGAACGTGATTGGGTATTCTTTGCAAAATGGAGTTTCACCTCATTTACTAAGCTTTGGAGCAAATGCCCTTGCAGAGTGCAACAGCATTTACTAAGTACACAGTCTGTTTGCATTTATTAAATCACCCCCTTAGTGTATATGGAACAGCATATGCAGAGCGAGATGTAAAACTTGTTTTCCGTGGTGCAGGGCTTGTTAGCTACCAGATGCTTGCCCTCCATGGCCATGGCTTGGTAATGTCTCCCTTCTGCCAGAATGCTCATGACATGCCTCTACTCTCAACCGAACTTACAGGTTTCTGGACTAGAATTTATTCACTTATATTGACAAAGAGATGTCATTGCAGGGCCACAAACAGCATTATGTGTCTTCCTTCTACTGTTGGATGTTTTCTGGGAAATGTTTTCAGCACCAAATGACAAGTGCACTTTAGCATAGCGTAGTTGGTGTTAAGGCGTCGGAGGCGTTTCTTAACTTCCGTGAACTTGGCTGTCCGGGTTGAGTTCTGAAATATGGGTACATTGAGATTTTGGTTTTGTCCACAATGAGAACTTCCACCATGGTTCTGGCTTTAGCCAGGGTGACATCCCAAACCTTAAAGTTCAATAGTCTGAAGAGGAACGGTCTAGGAGGTTCACTGGGTTGAGGGGGTCTAGCCGGGACCCTGTGAGCCTGTTCCACAACAAACATCAGAAAGAAAGAGTCCCTGCCAAAGAGTTTGACCAGCCAATATTCAATAAAGGCAACAAGGTTTTTGCACTCAGCTTGTTCAGGGATGCCCACCACTAGTACTTTATTTCTTCTCACCCTGTTCTCCATGTCTTCTAGTCGGGCTGTGTGGCCAGAAACCAGGGTGTGCACATACCGAACATCCCTCTGTATTGGCTCCCAGTCATCCTCCAACGTGCTCACCCTGCAATCCAAGGCTGTTCAGCATATTTTGCCTGACCAAAGTCAGTTCAATCTTTACCCAGTTAATTTCAGATATAAGATCCAATATAACTGTAATACAGGAGGTAACGGCTTTCAGGATATCTCTAGGCATGCTTTCGGGATCATCTGGCACTTGATCCACCTGCAGGGAGCTGGGCTCTCTAATGGCCTGTGCACTCACTTTGTCCCAGGGAGAAGTTTTCCGCTGGATCCTGGCACCAATCCTCAGCAGGTGAGTCCTCTCATCACGCAGCCGCATGTGGAGTATTGGCAGAGCCCGGAGCGGACTTACAAGGGGAGTCCTAGGCCGATGCCTTGGCAAAGAACGTTTGTGTCACCTTTCTAGCAGAGCGTGGTGAGAGGCCACCATCTTGGAAAGCTGGGTCCACTGTGGTCATAGTGTCCTTGCCCCACCAAGACATGAGCTGTCGGGACTGGAGTGGCGTCAACAGTTAGTGGAAACCGAGAGCTATCAGAGGGTATGAAGATCACTCAGTGTCACACAGGAGGATGATATGAGGATATATGTCCAGAGTCTTGGCAGGGAGAGCTATTCATGCTGCCTACTGTCAAACCACGCCCCAACACCATTTTAAAGGAGACCTAACAAAGTATATCTCTGGCAAAAAGGAGACTCCTGACTGATGTTTTCTCTTAGTGCTAGATTATGAAAGCAGTTCAAGCTGGGAAAGCCAAACTCCTGCAGTCACCGGGGAAAAAGGTGCAAACTGCCAAAGGTGCTCATTCGAAGCAATGCATGTATAAAATCAAAGAAGCTCCACACTCCCGTTCAGCCAACCTAGTGTAGAGTTAAAAACAGCCTCAGTCCATAAGTCTCTGGCAAAGCCCTATGCTAAAGCTCCAGTGGGCAGAGTGAAACATGTCAGGTGGCGTTGCTTTGGTGGAGACTCATGGCCTGAGGCCATTTTCAAGTTTACATAAGGTTGGCTGGACGGTAGTGCGGTGCCATTTTAAAGATGATTTGCAAGCACTCATGACCCCTAAAGACATGAAGAACATCTGATTATTGGGTTGTATGAGTATCCCAACCATCGCTTGTCATAAACAAGGCACAAATGTGCCTTTTTGCCTCTTATCTCAGGATCATGGACACCCCCTTAAATCAAGCTTCTGTTGATGATGACTCTGATGGTAGATCTGCATTGCTTGGTCATGTCAAATAACTGTGAAGTGCTTTTTTTCTGATTTGCAGATCAATGATAACCATGATACATTCTCTTTCTTCTGTAATGGTCATGCAGGTGGATGAAGAAGCCTCGCTGTGGGGTTCCTGACCTTCCTCATTTAAGCCATAGAAGAAGGAACAAAAGATATGCACTAACAGGACAGAAGTGGAGACAGAAACACATAACATACAGGTGTGCGCTGATGTTGGTCAGTTTGCTAATATTGTTTGATTGCATCTAGAGATGATAAGGCCTGAAAAAAAATGGGAAACATTGTGGGGAAAAAAAATAGCCATTTTTGCATTTTTCCAATTAAAAAAAGAAGTGTGGAACATGTTCTTTTACAAAGATAAATAATATATCTATGACATGGTATTCAAACTATATAACATGGCGACCTTAATGAAAGATTTCTGAGACTTTATGTAAAGTCAAAAAGTATTGTAAGTTCTCTCAGCAGAAGACAATCAAATCCTGGAATACAATTCAAGTAACACTGTACTTCTTAATGCAGTTATCAAACAAGAGAAATATGCATTTCTGCCACTCAGGGGTACTGAAGGGGAAAGGCTCCAGTTTAGTTTTCTTGTGGGCTCCATCGGTACCTCCTACAGTTGGGTGATTGTTGGGATACAGTAGATGACAGTTTCTGTCCTCTCTCAGGCCTTAATTTACAGGTAAGAGGGTGAATTTGTCTGACAAATTAATTAATATTTATAACCTTTAAATGATTCATATGAATGTTCTCCACCTTCACAGCATAATGTTTACCTATAGTCTGCTCAGTAAATTGGTTTTTTTCTTTTCCTCCTCTCAGTAAAATGGTGAGACCAACATCTAGAGTTTGGAAACATTTCCACAGTGAAAATCTACAGAGGGCAAAGCTGCAATTTGCAGTGCAACAAAATGAATTTCAGTTTGTAAAACTATTCCACAATTAATATTTTTCAGTCTTTCTGATAATTTCCATTTTCCTATGGCTTCAAAATTTCCGTTTTCCTATGGCTTCAAAATTTCCATTGGATGTATTTGATGCTCTTGTGCAGTGGTCTCCAAACTGCTGCCCAAGGGCCAGATGAGACCTTTTGCTTGCTTTTATCCATCCCTTGGGGCACTCTTTCATCCAAAGATGGGGTATAATTCTCCCCCACTGACACCAATGAAGAGGCACAATTCCTCCCAATGACACCAATGATGGGGCAAAATTGCTCCCACAGACACCAACAACTGTGCCCAATGACACCTATAACAGGGCAGTTCCTCCCACTGACATCAACGATGGGTCACTATTCTTCCCACTAATGATGGGGCACAATTCCTCCAAAAAACACCAACATTTTGGCCCAGTGACACCAGTAATGGGGCGCAATTCCTCCCACTGACACCAAAGATGGGACATTGTCTTTTTCCACTGACTTTGGGACCTTTTTTTGCTCCCCAGATGGACAGATGTGACCCTTTGCTTGTCTTCATCCGAGCCCTTGGGCACTCTTTCATCCACTGATAACAACAATGGGGCATAATTCTCCTCCATTGATATAAATGATGGGGCACAATTCCTCCTAATGACACCAACGATGGGGCACAATTCCTCCCAAAAACACCAACAAATGGCCCAATGACACCAATAATGAGACACATATGCTCCCACTGACACCAACGATGGGGCACAATAGCTCCCTCTGATACTAACGATGTGGCACAATTCTTCCCAAAAACACCAACAATTGGGCCCAATGACCAATAACGGGACACAGTTGCTCCCACTGACACCAATGATGGGGTACAATAGCTCCTTCTGACACTGACGATGGGGCACAATTCCTCCCAAAAACAGCAAAAATTGGGCCCAATGACACCAGTGATAGGGCGCTATTCTTCCCACTGACACCAATAATGGGGCACTATTTCTCCCACTGACACCAACAATGAAGCATAATTCTTCCCACTGACACCAATGATGGGGCACTATTCCTCCCACTGACACCAACAATGAGGTATAATTCCTCCCACTGACATTAACGACGGGGCACAATTCCTCTAAAAGACACCAACAATTTGGCCCATTGACAAAAATGATGGGGCACACTACCTCCCAGTGACACCAAAGATGGGGCATTTTCTTTTCCCACTGACGTTGGAACCTTTTCTACTCCCAGTGTCCAAAGTTCAGCCCTCCTAAAGTCTGAAGGACAGTAAACTGGCCCTTTGTTTAGAAAGTTTGGAGACCCCTACTCATGACCATTAAACGTTCCAAAAAGACCTTTAAGTAAAACAAACTTTTGTATCAGGTATTCCTTATTACACATCCAAGGATTTACTGAGAGATATGTGGATATTATGACCCAGCATCCACCAGACATTGAAATATGGTAGAGTCCAGGGGCGGACTGACAACTCATGGGGCCCCCGGGCAATAGGGGATCATGGGACCCCTGTGTCCTCACCCACACCCAACAAAGCCTATGAAAAAGCCAATGAAAGGTGGTACCAGGGGCATCTCATGGGGCCCCCTACTGACCCTGAGCCCTCGGGCAGTGCCCAAGTGCTCAAATGGTCAGTCCACCCCTGGTAGAGTCTCTCTTTTCTTGTCGTGGGATTGGTGTTTTTTTTTTTTTTTCTTTTTCGTCCAGACCCGTTCATCTCTTACAGGCCATATAAGCAGCCACAATACAATTTCATTTTCATTTTCAAGTACCTGACTTTTAGAGATGTGCTGATTTATGAAGGTTATTATGATCTTGCCTTTGGGCTTTTATATGGTAATTTTAGAGTCACATGTATTCGCCAAAATACGTCTTTTTGATATTTTCCCATTTATTGTGTGATGGTTTTTCAACAAAAAAAAAAAAAATTCCTTTGATCTCCATAACTTTCTAATTACTTTGCCTGACTTTTCAGCATACACAACTACACTCCCAAGGTGGGGGAGCTGGACACTAGGAAAGCGATTCGTCAGGCCTTTGATGTGTGGCAGAAGGTGACTCCACTGACATTTGAAGAAATTCCGTACCATGAAATTAAAAACGAGCGGAAAGATGCAGACATTATGATTTTTTTCGCTTCTGGTTTTCACGGAGACAGTTCTCCATTCGATGGGGAGGGAGGATTTTTAGCACATGCCTACTTCCCTGGACCAGGAATTGGAGGAGACACTCACTTCGATTCGGATGAACCCTGGACCCTCGGGAACTCCAATCATGACGGTAAGCTTTTCAATATCCTCCCAAACCTACTGCAGTCTTTTCTGACACCTGGCATAGAGAGCATCAGAATTTGCAGGTGACTCATCCATTCCTAGAATCACTTGTGACAATTGGGAAATCAAGAATATGCAGCTGAATCCCATTTAACCACTTCCAGTCCAGACACCTTTACCCCCTTCCAGTCCGGACACTTTTACCCCCCTTCCAGTCCGGACACTTTTACCCCCTTCCAGTCCGGACACTTTTACCCCCCTTCCAGTCCGGACACTTTCACCCCCTTCCAGTCCGGACACTTTTACCCCCCTTAAAGTCCGGACACTTTCACCCCCTTCCAGTCCGGACACTTTCACCCCCTTCCAGTCCGGACACTTTCACCCCCTTCCAGTCCGGACACTTTCACCCCCTTCCAGTCCGGACACTTTCCACCCCCTTCCAGTCCGGACACTTTCACCCCCTTCCAGTCCGGACACTTTCCACCCTCCTTCCAGTCCGGACACTTTTACCCTCTTCCTGCCCAGGCCAATTTTCAGCTTTCAGCGCTATCACACTTTGAATGACAATTGCGCTGTCATGCAACACTGTACCCATATGAATTTTTTTAGCATTTTTTGAGACAGATAAAGCTTTATTTTGGTGGTATTTATTCACTACTGGGATTTTTTATTTTTTTTGCTATGTAAATGAAAAAGTCCAAAAATTTTGAAAAAAAGTGTTTTTTTTCTTATAAAATTTAGCAAATAAATAGTATTTCATCATAAATCTTGGCCAAAAGTTATTCTGTTATCTTATTAGTAAAACAAAAATAACCCAAATTAGTTTATAACTAAAAATTATAATTTTTAAACATTTTTTTTTTATTATTTTTTTTTTTTTTTTTTTTTTTACATACTGTCACCCTAGCAGTACAGGACTGACAACTCATGGGGCCCCCGGGTAATAGGGGATCATGGGGCCCCTGTGTCCTTGCCCAAACCCAAAAAAGCCTATGAAAAAGGTACCAGGGGCATCTCATGGGGACCCCTACTGATCCTGGGCCCTCGGGCAGTGCCCGAGTTTCCAATGGTCAGTCCCGCCCCTGTATGAGGGTTTTCATAGGGCATATGGATGATGTATGATATTTCAAGGTTAATTCGACCATATTTCACTGTTTTCTATGCACACTCATGACTAGTGTACTCACATAGTTTTTTTTATTTAATTTTTTCAATTGTGATCGCTTTTCAGAGGTGTGAGGGTCTTCATATTGCTTATATATGTTGTGTAAAGGCTCACCTAGCGCAGTATCCATTCAAATTTAGTTCATTAAGAGAGGATATCTCTTTAATACTTGCAGCTTTGTGATATTAGTTGATTAGGGATATGCGCGGTTTTATCCTACAAACACAGACAAACAAGCAGCGCTTTCTTCAGAATAACAAAAGGTAGGAATTTTTGTTAAAATCCTCGCAATGTGCATAGATTTCCAGAGGGGAATGTTTTTTTTTTCTCAATAAAAGTGGAGTTATCCTTTACTTGCTACAGTTAAGTAATACAGCTTAGTCACCTCCCAGCCCCCAGTCTGTGATTGGACAATGAAGGAGCAGTGGACATTGTTATCACTCTGCTCTCTCCTTCAGTGAGCATGTTCCTTATCGGCAATTTCAGGGAACATGATTGCCTTGGAGTGCTGCCTCTTGCTAGGTATCCAGCATGTGCTGGATACCTAGCTTATGTATTATACATGGAGATCATATCCCCCCTTATATATTATACATGGAGATCATATCCCCCCTTATGTATTATACATGGAGATCATATCCCCCCCTTACAGTTGTGTCCAAAATTATTCAACCCCCACTGAAATTGAGTGTTTTGGCCAGTTTGACATTGCTTTTGATCATTCAGTCATCTTGTTACATTTACATTAAAGAGGCACTTGTAGGTCAGACAAATATAACATAACAGTTATAATGAAATAACCACAAATGTCTTTTCTGTGCTCACAGCATTATCAGTTTTATTCAACCCCCAAGTGACATTCAATCTTAGTACTTAGTACAGCATCCTTTTACAGTTATAACAGCTTTTAAAACGTGAAGCATAGCTTGACACAAGTGTCTTGCAGCGATCTACGGGTATCTTCGCCCATTCTTCATGGGCAAAGGCCTCCAGTTCAGTCACATTCTTAGGCTTGCGCACTGCAACTGCTTTTCTTTAAGTCCCACCAGAGGTTCTCAATCGGATTTAAGTCTGGTGACTGCGATGGCCACTCCAAAATGTTCCAGCCTTTCCTCTGCAACCATGCTCTAGTGGACTTGGAGGTATGCTTGGGATCATTGTCCTGTTGAAAGGTCCAACGTCTCCCAAGCCTCAGGTGTGTGACGGACTGCATCACGTTTCCATCCAATATCTCCTGGTACTGAAGAGAATTCATGGTACCTTGCACACGCTGAAGCTTCCCTGTACCTGCAGAAGCAAAACAGCCCCAAAGCATGATTGACCCTCCACCATGCTTCACAGTAGGCAAGGTGTTCTTTTCATCATAGGCCTTGTTCTTCCTCCTCCAAACATAGCGTTGATCCATGGGCCCAAACAGTTCTAATTTTGTTTCATCAGTCCACAGAACACTATCCCACAACTTTTGTGGTTTGTCCACATGGCTTTTGGCATACTGCAGTCGACTCTTCTTATTCTTTGGAGACAGCAAGGGGGTACGCCTGGGAGTTCTGGCACGGAGGCCTTCATTACGCAGTGTGCGTCTTATTGTCTGGGCTGAAACTTCTGTACCCACATCTGACAAATCTTTTCTCAGTTCCTCAGCAGTCACACGGGGACTTCTCTCCACTCTACGCTTCAGGTAGCGCACAGCAGTCGAAGTCAGCATCTTCTTTCTGCCACGACCAGGTAGCGTTTCAACAGTGCCCTTTGCCTTGAATTTGCGAATGATGCTTCCTAAGGTGTCTCTTGGTATGTTTAACATCTTTGCAATCTTCTTATAGCCATTGCCCTTCCTGTGAAGAGAAATCACCTCTTCTCTTGTCTTCCTGGACCATTCTCTTGCCTTCACCATGTTTGTAACCACACCAGTAAATGTCTAGAAGGAGCTGAGTATCACAGTCATTTTAAAGCTGCCTAATTGGTGCTTATTATGCTTGATTGCTGCTCGGTGACATCCACAGGTGTTTTCAATACCTGATGGAAAGCACCTGTATGAACCTCTGTTCTTCAGAGTGGTAGTCTTTAAGGGGTTGAATAATTGTGGCAATGAAGAAACCACATAAGAACCATTTACTACTGTATTACATAAACAATTGATGTCATTTTAGTTGCATTTGGGTAGTTACAACGTCCTTGTAGGATTTGATTCTGAATACAATTCCAAATGTACACTATAGTCCCTAAACCCCTTTACAGCATTGGGGGTTGAATAATTTTGGACACAACTGTATGTATTATACATGGAGATCATATCCCCCCTTATGTATTATACATGGAGATCATATCCCCCCCTTATGTATTATACATGGAGATCATATCCCCCCTTATGTATTATACATGGTGATCATATCCCCCCTTATGTATTATACATGGAGATCATATCCCCCCTTATGTATTATACATGGAGATCATATCCCCCCTTAATCTCCTCTTCTCAAGAGAGAATAAATTCAGTTCCTCTAATCTTTCCTCATAGCTGAGCTCCTCCATGCCTCTTATCAGTTTGGTTGCCCTTCTCTGTACTTTCTCCAGTTCCCCAATGTTCTTTTTGTGAATTGGTGCCCAAAACTGAACTGCATATTCCAGATGAGGCCTTACTGATGATTTGTTCCGGGGGAAATTATATCTCTCTCTCTGGAGTCTATACCTCTCCTAATACAAGAGAGGATTTTGCTCACTTTATAACCCGCAGCTTGGCATTGCATGCCATTTAGTTTGTGATCTACCAGATCCTTCTCCACCATTGATTCCCCCAGTTGTACCCCCCCCTAGTATGTATGATGCATTTGTATTCCTAGCCCCCAAGTGCTTGAATTTACATTTATCAACATTAAACCTCTAGAAGGCTCTGTTCTATCAGCATATGAATTGGGGACAGTTGAAGAAGGGGAGCGTCAAAGAAGACAGGATCAAACAGCCTTTTTAAACAATGTGGGGTTATTCACCCATTTAGGTTCCACAGTGAGTGTAACAAGCTTGCTTTACTGCATATACAGACGGATTTTACTGTTGTGAGTTTAGTAACACTTTAGGCCTTGACAATAAAACCCGGAAGCTGATTGGTTCCTATGCAGAGCTGCACCTGGCTTTGAACTCTCCAGTTTTAGTAATTCCCCCCCATTGCCTCGCTTCTCCCCGCTGCATCTCCATGCCGTATTATTTCATTATCTGTTTATCTGCAGGGATCTTTAATTAGTGACAATAACAATAATAGCTCCATTCTTCCTCTCTGCTGCAACTCCCAGACATCAAAATTTCATTGTTATGAGTAGAACTTATTGAAACTTATTGCACATTTCCTTTTTTTCCTCTCTGGGAAAATAAAACATCGAGACATAACTGATTCATAGAAACACTGACAAGTACAGCACTCACGGTAATCCTTCAGGTGCTCCTCACAAAGCTCTGACATTTCAGTAGACTGGAGCGTATTTATGAATCCTGGACCAATGGAAATATAAGTGCCTGGAGCCACTAATCAGAGATGAATTCTCTGTGGCGGTATCTGTAGACGCAGAGCTGTCAGCAGGAGTGCGAGTGTTTTGATGGAGCTGCTGCCATGGCAGGACCAAATAAATGTATAGAGAAAGGAGATTGTTTAATATTAGATCTTAGTTTAAAGGATATGTTAGGTTTGTGTTCGAGACAAGGATTAGGGGTTTGGGGCCACTACACTTTTGATCCAGATGTCTCCAGTCAGAGCCCATGATGACGTCACAAGGGGGTGGAGTGACCCTGCCCTTTGTGACATCATCACGGTATTTAAAAAACTGTCAAAGTATGTCACATATAGCCAGCACAGTGGCTAAATGGTTAGCACTTCCACCTGGCAGTACTAGGGTTGTTGGTTCAAATCCCAACCACGGCACCACCTGCCTGGAGTTTGCATGTTCTCCCTGTGCCTGCATGGGTTTCCTCCAGGTAGAGTGATTTCCTCCCACACTCCAAAGACATGCTGGTAGGCTAATTGGATCCTCTCTAAATTGTCCCTAGTATGTGTATGTATGAATGTGAGTTAGGGACCTAAGATTGTACACCCCTTGAGGGTTAGGGACTGATGTGAATGTACAATATATGTAAAGTGACGGGACTATACAAGTACCTGAAATAAATCAATAAATCCCAGCGCAGCTGTCAGATGGCAGGAGCCAGCATCAAGAGCAGAGCACTTTTTTTTGGGTTGGCAGTGGCGGCGGGCATTGTGATTGACATTGGATCTACTTTGGGTGGGACATTTTTTAAGTTTATGTTCTTAATGAAGGACTTATCAAAGACTGGCTCCTGTCATTTTTCCGCTACACTTTTTTTTTTTGTGTGAATGGGTAGCAGTACCCCATACTCATTTACATGGGGGGGGGCAACATCTTCCATATTCTGATAAGCCCCCTTCCCGCAGACGCCAACAACCACCGACCACGGTTGGGGGAAGAGACCCTTCTCCCCATCGACATGGGGACAAGGTGCTTTTGGGGGGGGGTGCCCCAAAGCACCTCCCCCCATGTTGAGGGCATGTGGCCTGGTATGGTTTGGTGGAAGGGGGGGGTGCTCACTCATCCCCCCTTTCCTGACCTGCAGGGCTGCATGCTCAGATAAGGATCTGGTATGGATTTCGGGGGATTGTTCCCCTCAAAGTCCATACCAGACCCGAAGGGCTTGGTATGGATGGGGGGGACCCCACACATTTTTTTTAAAAAAGTTGGGGAACCCACTGACAGCTAAAACATTAAAAAATGTTTTTAGTAGTTGTGTGGAATCTTTACCACATACTCAGGCTTAGTGAATGGTCCCCTCTTTTCGAAGTTCACAGTCGAACTTTCGTTATGTTCGAACTGCACACTGCGTAGGTGTTCCCAGTGCGGGGGGGGGGGGGGGAGATTTTCGCATGCAGGATGTAAACACTGTGATAGGTTGCCACTACCACGGAGAGGTAAGTTTGTAGCATGGTGGGAGGGGCTCTATACTAGATTTAAATAAAAAATGTACATCAGTGTTTGCTGAAGTGAAACTGTATCACATGCTAATGATTGACCAATGTCTCATCACCTGCATGTTCTTTACTACTGCAGGTAACGACCTTTTCCTCGTTGCTGTCCATGAACTTGGTCATGCCTTGGGTCTGGAACATTCTAATGACCCCAGCGCTATCATGGCGCCATTCTACCAGTATATGGAAACGCACAACTTTAAGCTTCCACAAGATGACTTACAGGGAATTCAGAAGATTTATGGTGAGTTTTTGCATACTGAACAACATATAAGATAGGAAGATGTTTTTTTCTTAAAAAGTAACAGCTCTACCAGGCCCATCAGGTGCATAGGACAGATCTCTTATTTGTGTTTGTGAATGACTACTGCTATTCAAAGCAAAACACTGTGTGGGGCACAGAAGGAGATAAAGAATTGACTCAACACATCCAAAGCTGTTTATAACAGAGGGAAAAAGTAGTGATCATACAGAATTTATCATTTGCTATCAATTGTCAAACCTTGGTTTGTTTTGTGAGCTAACCTCTGAGGTCTAGGGATCTCTGATCAGTCAACTGTCTTCTGAAGTCTAGGGTTGTCTGATCAGTCAGACTGTCTTCTGAAGTCTAGGGTTGTCTGATCAGTCAACTGTCTTCTGAAGTCTAGGGTTGTCTGAGCAGTCGACTGTCTTCTGAAGTTCTAGAAGTTGTCGACTGATCAGTCGACTGTCTTCTGAAGTCTAGAGTTGTCTGATCAGTCGACTGTCTTCTGAAGTCTAGGGTTGTCTGATCAGTCAACTGTCTTCTGAATCTAGGGTTGTCTGAGCAGTCGACTGTTTTCTGAAGTCTACGTTTGTCTGATCAGTCGACTGTCTTCTGAAGTCTAGGGTTGTCTGGTCAGTCGACTGTCTTCTGAAGTCTAGGGTTGTCTGATCAGTCGACTGTCTTCTGAAGTCTAGGGTTGTCTGATCAGTCGACTGTCTTCTGAAGTCTAGGGTTGTCTGATCAGTCGACTGTCTTCTGAAGTCTAGGGTTGTCTGATCAGTCAACTGTCTTCTGAAGTCTAGGGTTGTCTGAGCAGTCGACTGTCTTCTGAAGACTAGGGTTTTCTGATCAGTCGACTGTCTTCTTAAGTCTAGGGTTGGCTGATGAGTGGACTTTTTTCTGAAGTCTAGGGTTGTATGTTGAGTAAGCTGTCTTCTGAAGTCTAGGGTTGTCTGATCAGTCGACTTTCTTCTGAAGTCTAGGGTTGACTGATCAGTTGACTGTCTTCTGAAGTCTAGGGTTGTCTTATCAGTCGACTGTCTTCTGACATTTAGGGTTGTCTGATCAGTCAACTGTCTTTTGAAGTCTAGGGTTGACTGATCAGTCAACTGTCTTCTGAAGTCTAGGGTTGTCTTATCAGTCGACTGTCTTCTGAAGTCTATGGTTGGCTGATGAGTGGACTGTCTTCTGAAGTCTAGGGTTGTATGTTGAGTCAGCTGTCTTCTGAAGACTAGGGTTGTCTGATCAATGGACTGTCTTCTGAAGTCTAGGGTTGTCTGATGAGTCACATGTCTTTTGAAGGCTAGGGTTATCTGATCAGTTGACTGTCTTCTGAAGTATAAGGTTGGCTGATCAGTTGACTGTCTTCTGAAGTCTAGGGTTACATGATGAGTCCACTGTCTTTTGAATCCTAGGGTTGTCTAATTAGTCAACTATCTTATGAAGTAAAGCATTGTCTCATCAGTTAACCATCTTAAGCTTAGGGCTGCCTAAATAGTCAACTATCTTTTTCAAGCCTAGGGTTGTCTGATCAGTTGACTGTCTTCTCAAGCCTAATGTTGTCTGATCTGTCAACTATACTCTCAAACATAAGTTTGTCTGAGCTGTCAACTATCCTCTCAAACCTAAAGTTGTCTGATTAGTCAACTATCCCCTCAAACTTAGGGTTGTCTGATGAGTCAACTATCCTCTCAAGCTTATGACTATCTAATTAGTTGACTGTATTTTCAAACTTGGGGTTGTTAGATCCGTAGACTGTTTTCTGATGCCTAGGGCTATATGTTCAGTCTAGGGTGATCTAAAATCCCACAGGTTCCAGCCTAACTCATCCTTTTGATTTCTGACCAGATTATGAAAATCACATAATTTTTGTGATCTTTTAATAATTAGAAGGCTTTCCTGACATTTAACCTCAAGTTTCTTGTTTTGCATCTATCTGATTCTGTATCTCTTGACTTTTCTTTCATGTGGGCAAGAAAAGAATGGAAAATGGTTGTATTATAAAGAGGTTATTGTCTATTATGAGAAAGAGGACATAAAAAATTCCAGGAAAGAGAGGCTAGTAACTAATATGCTCACCTGCAATCTGTTGGGCCAAGTCATCTCCTGGCTTCCTATGTATATCAACAGCCAGATGTCCCTGTTAGAACTCTGTCCCTGTCTGCTTAGGCGTTTGGGGCATTTGGTGAAACTGTTAGTTGGTTTAAGTCTCCAAACACTGAAATATCAGATCTGGACAGTTTAACCCTTTAAGACAAAAGGCACATCCACATTATTTGCATATTGCAATCAGTGCTTGTCTTTTAATGTCACAACGTTGGACTTAGTCATCATTCTCCAGGGGCCAGCTCCTGTGAATCATTGGCATCTAGCCAACTTTGCAGTTCTTTTTTACACACGCGCATTATTGCATATTTTGTCATGTGTTAACATGTGTTTCATTAGTGCAGAATGGGCTGCTTTAACAGAAACACACATTAACACAACCACAGTCCACCAAAAAAGGTGCATGCATTTGGCAAAAATGCATGAATGCATTGGGGTGTCATTCAGAATGAATGGCAATGAAGAGCGCCAGTGCACATGATGAGCATTGCCCACACTACTACAGTGCGAATCTTTGATGCCATAGGATCATTAAACACTGTAGGTTACCCACCATAAGTGTGAGTATTGACTGTATGGGGTTTATTTACTAAAGCTGGAGAGTGCAAAATCAGACTCACTTCTGCATAGAAACCAATCAGCTTCCAGGTTTCATTGCCAAAGCTTCATTGAACAAGCTGAGGTTAGAAGCTGATTGGTTTCTATGCAGAAGGGAGTCTGATTTTAGACTCTCCAGCTTTAGTAAATAAACCCCTATAGGTCTAGGCATCTGGAGACAGTTAGAAATGTGCTCCGAATTCCTTATGATGCCTGTGTGAATCCCTGCCAGCCCTACTCTAGTACACTGTGCCTCCATAATTGGTACCATGACTGTTCTACCAGGTTGAGACAAGGGACAACTTCTCCAAAACTACTGGTGCACTTTATCAGTCACTCCTGTCAGCAGGCTTTCCGCTGCAGTCTTGGCTTTTAAGCTGATAACTGTGCTAATTTGAAAGCCCCAATAAAGTCTGACTGCCGTCTGAATGTGGCGGCTGCAGGTGACATTTTTCTACAGGGTTTAGTGTTACCAGAGCTGTCTGGGTGCCAGTTAATTGCCAGGCAGCTCTGACTCCAACAACTGCTGTCAGAAGCCCGGAATTAAAAATTTGATGTTCTGCAAACTTCTAGAGCGGAGCTGTGATTCTTCACTAAATTAAAGGAACTCTGACCTAATTTTTCAAGCTTTTCCCCTTATGAATTATTTATTAGGCTTATAAGGAAACATAACGGAATTTGTACAGAAAGGTAGTCTGTACAGTTTGTGACAACGCTTGACGTGTACAGCCCATTCCAAGCATCAGCCGTGTTCCTGCCATCTCTCTATAGAACACCTTGTTGCGCCACTAAACTAGATTTAAAAAGCTGGAGAGAGGAAAGTGTAAGTTTTCCCCTGCAGAAACAATCAGGGTCTAGCTGCCACTTTTCCACCTTTGATGGCCAACAAATCTATTTTTCATTTGACTTATTTTTTTTTTTACTTATCAGTAAAATAGCAGCTACAGTCTGTTTTCTCCAATGTAGGTGGCACTTATCCGGAGCGGTACTGCAGCTGGAAGGGAAGTCAAGGGAAACTTAGTTTCTGTATGGTTTGCTCGATTCCCCACAGCAGTGTTCCGGTTGGCTATCCTGCATCCAGGTGACCCAGGTGGCCATCTTGGGTCACGCAGAGTCTTCTTAAGCCCCTGCCTCCATGTTTTGTGAAGTCGCTGGTGTAGAGAGAGCATACCCGTCTGTCAAGGACAGCACTAGCAGCAGGGAGATGTTCTGGAGGAGTAGGGAAAGCTCAGGGTCTACATCTGAACCTCAGCAAGCCCCCTTTTGCGTTGGACCCACCAGACCACGTTCTACCCTCCTTGGCAAGTGCTGTCTTCCACTACCACTGACGCTCCACTACATAGACTGTAAGTTCCCAGTCGGGTGAGCTCCCCCACCAGGTTGTTGTACTATTTGCTCATTCTTCAATACATCAGTTACTGTACTTTGGGCCTTTGTGTGTTTACTGCCCCCCACCACGCTGCACCTACTAAACATCCGCCTTCACTGTGCTCCCCTGCCTCTCTATTCATCAATTCATCCTGTTATCTGGGTATGGGGGGAGCATGTCACCCCACTTCATTTACTCCCAGCTAGTTATATTCAAATTCAGGTCTAATTCAAATTTGACCCAAATTTCCAGCGTGGAAATTTGACCAAATTTGTTTTACTTTAAATTACAAAGTCAAAAGGGACCCATTTTTGATGACCACTTCTAGCCCGTTGGAAAGCTTCTACAAAACATAGTGGGGTCAATATAATGCAGGGAAAATTTAAAAGGACAGTACACTAATATAGTTATTTATTTATTTATTTTGCTGGTTTCGGTTTTTGGTGTTTTTTTTTTACTGTTACTGTTACCATATAGGTTTTTTTTTCTCAGAGAATAGGTGCAGGAACTCCCCCTTTCTGAATCACTCCTTGTCTTTGCCACCCTACCCACCTCCGAGCACTGTCTCTTGGTTCCACCCCCTACCCACCTCCTAGTACCACCCCTTTAGGAAAATACAGAACCAAGTACTGTTTTGTGGTGCTAAGTAATTTGTGTAGAATTTGTTAATGATAGCAAGAAAAATAGTAAAATAGATCCCCTGCAGCCAGCAACAATAGACCCACTCAGCAACAGTGGACCCTCCTGAAGAATAGACTCCCCCCCAACAACAATAGGCCCACCTGGCAACAATAGATCTTCCCACAACAATAGACTCCCTAGCAACATTGCCCCCCCCCCCCCCACACAAAATACCACTTAGCATGAATAGATCCACCCCAGCCACATTAGATGAACCCCAGCAACAATAGACCCCCAGCAGCAGCAA